TAGTTAGAGTAACACAGGTGAATGTTGAATGCTGGTGTCGGGGTATCATGCCGCCCGTATTCCAGTGGCTCGATTTTTCCCTAACGTACCCGGGATTCCTTAGAGATCCCACAAGAATTCGATTAGGCATTCTGGTATCTCACTTTCCCATATCGTACCCTGGGTCCGGCTCCACCTTGGTATCCTGGGATCTGCTAGACATTTCGTTTACCCCAAATTCTCGCCGATCACCGAATGCGAGTGAGGACACACATTCCGGTTCCACGATTTCCCGCTAGTGTACCCGGGTTCGATTACACATTCTGGTTACTGAAACCGTCGCTGCGTCCATCGGGATTCGTGGCTTCCGCCTCTTCCTTCATTTTGCCCGCATGTAAAGCTTATGGGAAACGCATAAAAATACATTGAAGCTATCATAAAAGGTGTTGTAAGGAGAGGGAGGGGAAGGAGGAGAAAGAGGAGATGAAGGCATGGGAAGGAGAGCCTGAGAGGGAAGAGGAAAGAAAGAGCCGGAGAGGGGAGAGGAAACCACGTGAAGGGGAGGTTGAAGGGTTAAAAAAGAGGGGGGGGCATGAAGGAAAAGAGGGAGAGAGTGTGTGAGAGAAGAGAAAGGAAGGGGGCTTGAAAGGAAAGGGAGGATTCATTGGAGTACATAGTCGTTTTGAGAAGAGACGTCCACCATAACAACTTTGTGGATTAATTACTTAGGGTTAATGACCCTCCAAAAAAAGTGTGGTTTATTGTCGTTGAGGTCAAGTTCGTTACACTAAGGTGTTCCCCACAACAGTCATCTAGGTACCTATTTCCTGCTGCAATGAGATACAAATAACCCGCACATAAGAGAGAAGCTTACAACGACGTTTCGGTCCGACCTCGACCATTTACAAATCACACTGTGACTTTGTTAATGGTCCAAGTCGGACCGAAACATCGTCGTAAGATTCTCTCTACTACATGCGGGTTATTTGTATATTATTCCAGTCACGGTATTGTGCCTTTTTGCTTTTTTAACTGTAATGAGACTTTCCACATCGTGAACACTTCGACTAATGTAATGATTCCCTGGGACCGAGGCAGCGTTCCTTCAGCTGTACTCCCTTAATTGTGGTTGCAGGGGTCGAGAGACAGCGTTGTGTTGTGCAACAGTTGCTGCTGCCCATATAAATCGTTCGTATGCTCTCTGTCAAAGTCGGTGTAGCTGTGGGCTGACAAATAAAAGAATATAGCAAGTGCGTTCACAACGTGACCACACGTCTCTCCTCGCCCGGGATTCCCTGGTTTGACAATGCTACAATTCAGATGGAAGTCTTGTCTTGGGGAACGACCTCAGAACAGCACTGTGGAGGCTTCACAGAGGCTTCAGGGGTAGACGCTAGGGAAGAACTAGTACAGAGGTAAATCGAAAAGGTTAAGAAATAAAGATTTACTGTAAAGAATAGAGAATACGAAACTTCACACTCGCAAAGTTAAATTATTAGTACAAATTCTTGCGCCTCTTAGTTACATAATCAGAGTGCTACACTCGGTGAAAATTAGCTGCATCTCTAGAAATATTGCTAGGGGATAGATATATTAAAAAGCAATGTTAGCATGACATACACAGTAATGTGGTAGACATGTACTACGAGACACAGACACACACTGACTCAGTCGCTCACTAGTTGCAGTACAAATAGTACAATTTAGACGAGGTACCTCATAGTCCATATCTTCAGTCCACTCTTTTCTATCCAATAAATTTCACGTTTTCTCAATATTGCATGATCATTTTTTTTTCTTTTTGTTATTGCTTCACGTGGGCAGAAGCCAGAGCAGTTGAGAGTGGGGAGAGAACCTTTTACTTTACTGTCTTTGCCTCAAAAAATATATAACAATACACAGTCTTTAATCAAGATAGTAGTAGTCATATTCAGCAGACTGCCCCTTTGTGGATTTCATGCATATGTATACATGTGTATATGTATGTATGCATGCATTCATAGTTCACACTGCACACGACACGTCGTCACCTCAGTGCAAATACTGTTACTAAGGTGTGCGTGTTAAGGTGCGTGTGTGGGGCATCCATCAGGTAACTCATAATGTTCCTGGTTCATGTAGATCTACAGCACTAAGGAAGCTGATTCCTACCTACAAGTGTAGGAGCATGACGCGAAGCTGCTGAGAGAGAGAGAGAGAGAGAGAGAGAGAGAGAGAGGGAGAGAAGGAAGGAAAATGTTTATACTGAAGAACCCATTGACTTGGTTATTAAATCATGTAGCGGGATGGGGTTTGAACCTCACCCCGTTCTGTGGTTTATTTGTGATTGTGTTATGATTTCGTGAGTCGTTTGGGTGTTTACCTGTAACTGCAATGCTTGGAAAATGGATCTAGAAGACCAGAGACTGTGTACTTTTGGAGAGAACTTAACGATTCATACATGTATAGCGTTTATTTTACATAATTTTAAAAGGGCAGCAACTTATGGTGCAAGACGAAGAAAAACGATATAATCATATCAAGCCTTGAAGTTCTCAGAGAAGATATCAGCTGCGTATGCTAAGCCAGTGTTTCATTCCCAAACCCGGGGGACTAGTTACCCGAGGGGACCCAGGGTAGGGCAAGGGGTTTCCTGGAAGACTGGGGTGACCCGGGGAGGGCAAGGTTGTCCCCGGAAGATGGGGGGACCCAGGCTAGGGCAAAGGGGGTTCCTGGGAGGCTGGGGGGACAGGGGGACCCCGCCCCAGTACGGAGGTCCGGACCTTGGGAAAACCCTTTATGGGTCGCTCCCCTGAGTCAATTACTGTTTTATTTGATTTGCTAATTTGTTGACAGTGTACATCATTTATGATTACCTTATGTTAAAA